TGTTTCCTGTTTCCTGTTTGGTGCAGAGGTCCAGCAGCAGCTGTTGGTGGTTAAAGAAGAGGTTCCCCCTGAGCAGCAGGAGTGGATCTCCACTGTGGACCAGGAGGACCCAGAGCCCCCACACATTAAAGAGGAAGAGGAGGAACTGTGGAGCAGTCAGGAGGGAGAGCAGCTTCAAGGGCTGGAGGAGGCTGATATCACCAAGTTCACATTCACTCCTGTCCCTGTGAAGAGTGAAGATGATGAAGAGAAACCTCAGTCTGAGGGACACCACTGTGGAGGACCAGGACCAGTGCCCGGAGACTCTGATCCAGATTTAGAACCAGATACTGAGGACAAAAAGTCGGATGATTCTTTAGTCGCTGAGATTGAAGTCAGTATTGATGACTGGAAGGAGACCAGAGAACCTCAAAATGATGATGTCTCTGTCAACGATTTGAAAAGTAGCACTGGTGAAAAACCATTCAGCTGCTCTGACTGCGGGAAAAGATTTGGTAAAAAAGCGAGTCTGAGGAAACATATGAGCATTCACACAGGAGAAACTTTCAACTGCTCAGTTTGTGACAAAACATTCCCCCGCAAGGACTACTTAGTTTATCACATGCGCAGCCACACAGGAGAGAAACCGTACAGCTGCTCCGTCTGTAAGAAAGATTTCACCCAGAGTGGAAATTTACACGAACACATGAGAATCCACACGGGAGAGAAACCGTTTGGCTGCTCTGTGTGTGGCAAAGAATTCACCGGAAGCGCGAATCTGAGGAAACACATCAGAACACACACAGGAGAGAAACCGTTCAGCTGCTCCCTCTGCGAGAAATCTTTTGCCCAAAGTGGGAATTTACAGCTGCACATGAGAGTCCACACAGGAGAGAAACCCTTCAGCTGCTCCATTTGCGGGAAAGGATTTATCGGAAGCGGGAATCTGAGCAATCACATGAGAGTCCACACGGGAGAGAAGCCATTTGGCTGCTCAGTGTGTGGGAAAGAGTTCATTGATAGTAGAAATCTGGGGAAACACATGAGGATTCACACGGGGGAGAAACCATTCAGCTGCTCTGTCTGTGAGAAGTCTTTTTCACAGAGTGGTAACTTACAGCTGCACATGAGGATTCACACTGGAGAGAAACCGTTCAACTGCTCAATGTGCGGGAAGGAATTCACTGGAAGTGGGAATTTGAGGAAACACATGAAAACGCATAAGGGGGAGAAACCTGTCGGCTGCTCCATGTGTGGAGATACTTTAAATGACGATGTTGAAAGTCATGAGTGTGCTTTGAAAAGCAGCAGCAGCAAAACTGCGGGTTCGGATGAAACTCTGGAGCCACAGACAGTTGAAACCGCTCTGGACATGTTTGAAATGAGATCATCAGAGTAAGAAAGTTGTTTTTCTTCTGCTGTGAACAAGCAGCATTCAGTGTTGGGTGTTGGTTCACTCTGTGCATGAAGGTAAAAAGAGAAAAAGGTGAATGATAGGAGCAATTTATGCAGATGAAGTAAATGTAAATGCACAATTGGACACACATTTCCAATGGACACAACCGGAATGACACAAAATACACAAATTATTTTTCCAAGAAAATATCAATAAATGTCTGAAAAATCATGTTTAAATTTTTAAAAAGTTGGTAAATTGTCCAAAGAACAAAGTCCAAGAAATGTTGATGAAAATAATATTATATTAAATTGTCCCATAAAGTGTTTTAAAAAACATTTCCAAAAACAAAGTAAATTTAAAAAAAAAAAGCTGTTGATAAAATATTCAGAACACATTATTAAAATTTCAGAAAAATGTTAATAGAATAACCAAACACAGTTTTCAAAAGTAAAAAAAAGATAAAATGTCTAAAAGATAATATTAAATTGTCCAATAACATATGAAAAAAATGTCTGAAAAAAATTATAATAAAATGTCTGAAAAAAATGACATGAATAGTGCAATTTCACGTCAAATGCTTATTTGCAAAAATTGAAAAATCTAAACTTCAGCAACAGATTCATATTGTGATAGTCAAACAGCATTGGATCCTCCAGGAACGTATGACACCTTTTTGTATCTTTTTGGCACTCACTTTCATGCTCGTGTGATGGGAGTTAATCACGCATATCAACCAAGTCAACATAAAATATTCTAGTATTCAAACTTGCGGGAGTAACACCATATGAATTTTCGCGCATGAGACGCATAGTGGTTATTTTCATATTTTTCTAGTGTATTCATTAAAGTCCATATTTTGTTTCGTTCGTAACCTGATGTTACAAGAAGAACACCTTTGAGGGAATTTCTTCAATTAGACACAAATGTCCACTTGGACTGAGGAATAGATTGATAATTTCTTGCTTTAAACATTATTTGTACTGTTTTAAATCAAACCAATCCCAGAATTTTAATGATATGACTTTGAAACAGTGTGCTCGTGTGCTCCCTATGTCTAACATTATAAGATCTGGTAAGATGAGCGACAGTAAATGACATGTAGTGATTTGTGGTCCAGTTTGTGTCTTGATTTTCCCCTAACTGCGATGCTCCTAATGTCTGACATTATGTATGATCCTAATGGCTTTTTTTGTAATGTATATATTTTGTAATATGTATATAAATTGCTATTGTAGGTGTTACCCTCAGACCTCCACACAGTAATTAAGAGATATAGTGATTTATGGTCCAGTATGTGTCTTGATTAAATATGACTTATTTGAGGTTTTCAGCTGATTTCGTGATTCATTATCACTCCCAGAAATTTATTTTCACACATTTATCCATATTGACATCATTGGAAGTTGCACTTGCATAGCAATATTTCAGTTTCCAAATTTAGTGACAGTTTGTTTTTGTCAAATCGTCTTTTCAGTTTATTATTTCTGTTGTGATCTTCGTAGAAGCATAAAATATTTTCAGTGTTTCCTGATTTATTAAACAGCATTTATGTTTTTTTTTTGTACAGGAGACGAGTTGGTTGAATCAAAAAAAGCAGTGTGAGTGTTTCCCAAACTTAAATGACTTAATAAAGAGCTGCTTCATTCACTCCATATATGTCTCTGTTTTTCTCTGATCACACCATAGTGTGCCACAACATGAAGGACATTTGAACACATCCTTTAACAACATCTCCGTGACATCTGACTAGTAAATTCCCTGAGTGGTGGGAAAAGGGGGAGGCGTGTTTAAGCTGTGTGGATGGACTTATGTTTCTTAGTTTGGCTTAAGGGGAGGGATATACAACTTGAAATGTTTTCATGTCTTCTTTGTTTTATTTATAATAAAATCAGCAAACTGTTTTTAGAAAAAAATTCGCCAAACCCACCGACAGGTTTGGGGGGCATGTTTTCTTAGAATAATTTTGGCTTTTTTTTTTTTTCTTTGAAATGTTTTTCTGAGTTTCTCTCGCCAATTTTGTGTGTTTCTTTAATTCTATTTATTTGTTTGTCTAATAGGTTTGTGACTTTTTAAAAATATTTTTGCTTAAGTTTTTCTTTTAAAAAATGTTCAATGTTTTTCTTGTTTAATAAATGTTGCTGTTGATTTCTCTGTGTATATATTTTGGCGACTTTTCTTTAAAAATGTTTTCTTAAATAATTTATTTAATTTGCAGCATTATATATTGTTTTGTTAATTCTTTTTTAAATTTTGTGTTGTTTAAAATATTTTGATATTTTGGTGACTTTTTTTCTTTAAAGTTTTTTCTTTAAAAATGTGGTGTTTATTATCCAAAAAATTTTGGTTGATTTTTTTTTTGTTCTCTTAAAAATGCAGATGTTTTTTTTGTTTGTTTGGGTTTTTTTTTGCAATTTTCTAAAAAAAAAAAAAATTCGCTTTTTTTTTTAATTTTTTTTAAATGTGACTAAAAATTGCCAAAATTAGCCCGTTTATCACAGCCACTGGAACCTGTTCTGAAATTTGTAACTCATTTTGATTTTGAGTTCTTATTAAAACTGAGCTACAGTGTAAACTCCAGGCTCATGCCACATGATGATTATAAGATGGTGGTTTTATTTTAACAGGATCTCAGTCAGAGTAAACTAATGGTACAGCATCAGTTCTGTTACTCGACAGACAGAAGTGTTTGTAAATAGAAGATAATGTGTTGACTGTCTGAATGGTTGTGGAAATGTTTTTCTTGGTCCTTGAAGAAATTCTCTCAGGGTGCTTTCACACCTGGTTCAATCAAAATGAACGCAGAGTGCGGACAGAAGACTTTGTCTGTCTTTGTCTCTTCAGGTTTGGGAACCCTGAAACTCTCACACACTCCTCCAGGTTCAAGTCTTTGTGATTCAGTTTGTGGACGGTTATTAGTTTGATTTACTGATCATTAGTTTGATTTATCGCTGAGAGGAGTTGCTCTGTTGGGAACCAGGAAAAGTTTTCAAACTTCAGCACGATGTTGAATCATGAGGTCATAAATAAAATCTAATCACAGTGAGGAGGAGGAGGAGGAGGAGGAGGAGGAGGCGGCGGCGGCTGGTGTTTGTACAGCAAGGAGGAGGGGAGGGAGGATGACAAAATAATGAGAGGGAAGCGAGGGAAGGAAAGAGTGATACTTATGTTTGGATTTAATATTCGTCCTCTGTTTCTCTGTTTCAGTGAACTCTTGTCTGATTGGTTGACGTGACACAAACAAGACTCTGAGAAAAGTTTAATTAAAGTTGTGTTTTTCAGCAGAGGACATTTCTCCTTCGTCCTCTCGTCGACCTGAAGAGGCCTCGAGGCTCTCGAGTGTTTGTGAGAGGAAAACCTACATCAATCAGGTCAGTCAAACACAGCGAGTCCTTTTATCAAGAGGAGAGCGTCAGCCTCTTCACGTCTAATAACATGTTTAAAAACAGAATGAAATGAGCTAAGATCCAAACAGCAGGTCCACAGTAAAAACAGAGTTAGATGAATCAAAATGTAATAAAACATAAGTAAATCTCCGAAAAGCACTTCACTGAGGGGCCCAGGAGTCAGACACCTCGAAATCTACTCTAAACGCAACAGGTAGCTGGTGTAAAGAAGCCTGGATCAGTGCAATGTGGTGTCAGGGTTCCCACAGTCATGGAAAACCTGGAAAAGTCATGGAATTTTACAACAGGCCTGGAAAGCTCACAGAATTAGTAAAAATCATTTAAAAATTAATGTCATTCAAGTCATTCAAAGTTTTGGAAAATTATTGAAAATAATGAAAGTCTCAGAAAAGTCACGAAACTTAAATTTACTTTGAAAAAGAGTAAAAATTATTAAAGGTCTTAGAAAAGTTGTAGAGAACGTTCAAAAAAAAAAAAAAACATCCAAAAACTTTGGGAAATGTTCCTGACGTAGCTCTTAAACGTGTTGATGTGTGACAACGTTTCGTTTACCATCACGTATGTTTTGTCATTTTCTATCTGTTCATCTTTGACAGCAAGTTGAAATTATGTTTGAACAGAGTTTGAATATGATCAAAAAACATCAAATAGACCCTTTTACTGTCAGTAAACAGTATGACTTTTTTGGTGGGCAGGGCTTAGCTGGAGGCAAAACAGTTCTCCACAGACATTAGCTAGCGCTAGCTAGCAAGTTCTGTTGTCTTGTTTGAGACGATGGAGGAAGATGATGTGAGTGCTGCGTTCTGAGTGTTGGAGCTGACTGTGGTGGGATCCTCAGGTTTGATCTGTGAATCTAAATTTAAAACAGCAGAGGTCAAACTGTCCCACAGTCCTTCCCATCATGCATCTCCCAGCTGATCGCTGCCGTCCTCGAGGGGTCGCTGCCTTGCTCCAGGGCACGCTGGGAAAGTCGTGGTGTTCTCATGGTTTCTATATTTAGCTGTGACAGTAGGGACATTTGTGTTCCTGAACGCAGCTCAGGACGGCGTGAGAGTCTGCAGAGGTCACAGTGTGTGTGTGTGTGTGTGAGTGTGTTTGTGTTAATGTGTGTGTTGGCTGTAAGTGAGACTCTCATGTGAACATTGTCAGAAGGCTATATATATATATAAATATATATATATATGTACTTACACAGCGTCTCGATTGGGAATCACATGAATGCAGAGAAACTGACTTTATGATCTTTGACTTCAGATTTATTTCTGTCACATCAGAGCTGCTCTGATACAACAGTGAGGTCTGACACGTCACTCGGAGGTCGGAGACGACTTCAAACTGTTCATTCTGTCACATACACTGTTTGTGTTTCCTGTTTTGGAGAATTACACTGTCAAAGGAAAAGCAAAGGAGTGTAATGTCAGTGTCAAATGATTCTTTTAGGGCCGACATCACATTCATTTTGGTGGAAAAGACGTTAAGCATACATTGTTAACATTCTCCCGCTGTCTTGCTAACATGTAGCTAATCATGTGTTAGTTGTGGCAATGTTATTATGGAAGCTCAGCTGACTGCAGCTGGTGGGCGGAGCTCCACGGGTAAGGAAAGAAAAAGAAAACAAGCTGCAGGTCATGAACAAACATGCTGTTAGCAGCGGTAAGCTAGCATCAAAAAGTTTAGAGCTGACCTGGTAATTAGCTAGCTATCTCCATGTTAACTGACATTAGTGGTGAATTTTTAAATTGGTGAGTGTTTGTTTGGTTGTTCATTCAACAAGCCGAGGTGAAGGACGAGACGTACATTAGTGTCTGTAAGTTAGCTAGGTTATAAGGAGAATGGTTTAGATTTTGACTTTACCCTGCTCCTATAAAAAGCGAGACACGACCATAAGAGATGACAAAGAAATTTACAAAATGTCGTTATGGAATGAATTGGTTATAGTGAAAAGAATTCACTGTCCAATTGTTGGGATGTGTGTAACACCGTCACTACAAAGTGCGTCCATTTAAAGGTACAATATTACGACCTTCTCTGCCATCGCCTCGTTTGTTGTTGTGCGAAACTTACTCTAGTGCCACCTATTGGCTGTATCTACACTGTGTGTAGTGTGAGGACAGTGATGTTTACAACGTTTAACGTGGACAAATCTAATTTCGTGCCTTTAGACTGCAATGGTTTGTATGATATCCTAAAAATGAGTAACATTACACACTTACATTACATACATTTATACGTTAGCGAAGTTTAGGAAATGAAACACGGTGACGACGTACCTTTAAAAAGTTCAGACTATTTCAAACACTGGTCCTCTGGAGTAATGTCCTATGTTACGTGACCTGTTGACCACCAAAATCTCTTTCCAGGCTCTCTAATTTACTCTCGTCAGCACATTGGTGACATGATCGCAGCATTCCAAAATACGTGGGTTATACACGGACTACCGTCTCAAGATAACGTGGGAAATGTCCGAAATTTGGTTGATTACTTTTCTTACGAACAGTGCATGAGAACCATGTGAGCATGTCCATTTTCATCTGAACTGAAGCTAAAAGCAACATGTTCTTGTTCTGAGTGTTAGCATTTCTGAAAAGAACCAGGCTAACTGTTTCCCACTGTTTCTAGTCTTTATGCTAAGCTAAGCTAACTAGCAGCAGGAAGCAGCATCACATTTAGCACACTTATTCAAGTAACACTGGCGGTCCCGGAGAGTGAGTGACCTGACATGGTGCGTTGGTAAATTCAGTCTGACGCTCTACACTAAAATGAGAGCCCTGTTGGTGGAAGAAACGCAGCGTTATATTTCTACATGAATGAACCAATGGTTAAGTTAATCACACATTCACTCCGCTCGGCGCTCTGCTGCTCCGTCTCCACAGACAGAGTGTCCAGAGTGCGCTCTGCCACTCTGAGAGTGCGCTGCTCTGGATAACCCAACGCTACATTCAGACAGCGCTCCCAATTTATCAACGCTCCAGTTTGTGTCAGAGTGCGCTCCCACACTCACAATGAGTGTTTCTGAACGCACCACTCACATCATCTTCCTCCATCGTCTAAAACAAGACAACACAACTTGTTAGCTAGCGCTAGCTAATCAATCAATCAATCAATTTTATTTATAAAGCCCAAAATCACAAATCACAATTTGCCTCACAGGGCTTTACAGCATACGACATCCCTCTGTCCTTATGACCCTCACAGCTGATCAGGAAAAACTCCCCAAAAAAACCCTTTAACAGGGAAAAAAAACGGTA